GTTGTCAAAAATTGCTGTCATCAAAAATTACGGTTTATTAAAAAATGACTGTTAATCAAATATTGCTGTTCTTCAAAAATTAATGTTTAACAAAAGAATTGCTTGTCTGCTGTTTGTAAACAAATGTTTTTTTTTTTTTTCAAAAATTACGGTCAATCAAAAAATACATGTTCATCAAATATTGTTTGTAAAAAAATATTTTTATTACAAATTACGGTTTTTCAAGAAATGACTATTTATTAAATATTGTTTTCGTCAAAAATGACTTTCTTAAAAATTACAGTTAGTCATAAATTATGATGTATCAAAAACCACTGTATATCAAACACTGCTGTTTGGCAAAACTTATTGTTTATCAAAATTACCATTCATCAAAAATTATTGTTTATCAAAAATTGTTTATTAAAAATTACCGTTTATCCAAAATTATTGTTTGTACACAAATTATTTTTTCAAAAATTACGGTTTATTAAAAAATAACTTAATCAAATATTGCTGTTTGTAAAGAATAACATTTTATCAAATATTAGGTACTTACTGTTTATTAAAAATTACTCTTTATCAAAAATTACAATTTGTCATTTATCCAATATTGCTGTTTTTTCAAAATTGCACTTTGTCAAAAATGTTGTTTGTCAATAAATGCTGTTTGTCAAAAAATTGCTGTTTATTAAAATTTTGCTGTTTATCAAAAATTGCTGTTTGTCAAAAAGTACTGTCTATCAAAAATTAGTAACAAACCCAAGATTAAAATACTATCTATTTTAACTATTAAACCAATCGATGTAAAACCATTACCTAAGGCTTGCCCTGGAAAAACCAACAGAAAATCTACAGCCAATAACGTTGTTATAGACCTCTAGAAGCATATATTTTATTGCAAAACGAAAAATTCCATCGATAAGCAACTTTTCTTTGAATTTGACAGATTACATGACAGCTCCCACCACGTGGACCTAGTATATGTTGTTCACCACCCTCACTGCCTGTACCCAACTATAAATAGCAAGCAAAAAAAGGAATTAATAAATTATCAATAAATTGTTAATTTTCCCATTTTCTGCGCCGCTGGTAACATAACTTTAGAGTCACTGAATACTTCTACAGTTTACAAGTCGAGATTCTTTTCTACTTCCAGCATAAATTAATTTATCATAAGTCATATCTGGTACAAGTTTATCCAGTATGATAATTTATACATTTAATTTTATCATTGCGACTGAATAAGGCAATTTGTTTTTGGTTGTAAAACTTAAATGTATTCTACAAAATAAGGTAGCAATGGCTTAAAGATTGAATATATAATATTATTTCGAATTAGTTACGTATTAGCATAATATCCTACATATTTTACTATCAGATTTAAATCTAAATTGGCGTTGAAGCCTTGAATATAATTTTTCTTTTGGCTTTACACATGTTGGCATTTAAGTTTTCATCAAATTTTTTCCCTCCCACATTTTTGCTGATTTATAAATTTCATTTGTTAAGGCTCTTCATAATAAATTTATGAGGAAATTCATAGCTGTAAAATAGTTAATAATTGTCACTTAAGTTGTCACTGAAACGTTAATTTATTTTACATGCAATATTTAAAATCGGTCAAAAACAACGTACCAATGTTGTGACGATATTATAGTTCCTATTTTAATTATTTTTTTATTGGTTATAAAAAGGAAAACGAGTATAACAATAATAAAATAATTTCAACCACCGTAACGTCCAATTATCGCATTTATTCCCTAATTTGTGCTCAAAACAAAATAAACTTTCACAATTTGATTTAAACCAGCAATTATGGAAATTATCACCGCGCTGCTACCATCGGAGGCCTAATTCATTCATCAAAACGTATGGCTGACAACGTTTTATTAGTTTTACAAAGGAACACCTTGTACTATAATGAAATACAGAAAATGCACCCATGTATAATTCTGACTTATGTTCTTCAGTCGACATGATACTGATAAAATGTCCAAGCATTATAAGTCCGTTTAATCAAATAAATTTTAATTCTGACAACTGGACGTTCCCATTTTTTTATACAGGGTATTTGTATTGTCTCCTTTCTTTATTAATCAAAATAGTTGAACCTCTCAATGATTGCAAGATTTACATTAATTATTTGCAAATCATAATTATAAGAAGTTCTATATGGAAAGTGGCCAGAAAAATTAACAACAAAGAAAGAAACATTTTTATAAAATCGAATAGAAGATGATTGAAAATGGACCAATATGACAAACAAAAATGAAAAAATGGAGGAAGGAACAAAGAAAAAACACAACATCCTATTCCCATTGTTGTAAAATGTTTATAGACCGATAAATTATAAAAATAACTATCAGCCATATTGTGTTTTTATTCAAGTTGCATAATTAAAACTTTTTTATTTAACACTGTTTATTTTACATGAAGAACACCATAGTACATAGTAAATTCTATGTGTAAGAGTGAGAGTTACACTTACTATTTTTTGCAAATATTTATGTCAAAAAACAACAATGGATATATAGCAGTTTCAAAATACTCCTTAAGAAAGTTCGGCATAATCTATAACTTTGATCACTATTAGTGATAACGGAATTTCTTCCCACTACTCTTGTTCTACTCTTTCTATCTCGTTCCTGCTTTCCCACACTTTAGAATCGTCTCCACTGCAACAATATCACACGTCTTTCCTAATTTGTTATTTAACGGAGTGCTATTATTTAATAACTACTAGTTCATTACTATGCTAATAACCCAAGTCCATCCCTGATAGAGTTTTGGTTTCTTCCTTAGATAAAAGAGACCAGAGATATAACATACACCAGTGTTTAACCTGCGCAAATGTTGCCAATTTCTAAAGAAAGGTTAACGGAGTGGGGGAACTGGGCAGAAACCCGAAATCTGTGACAAGGACCGGACTTTGTTTATTAGCATCATAATGAACTATTAGATTTATTTAAAATATATGTTTAATGGAATTTTGTATTATGAAATAAAATTAATGTGATTTTTTAATATAAAACAGATGTACAAAATTTTATGTAAAAAGAAGACCTTTTATAGAATATTTCGTTAGCGTTTATTTACTACGGACTTTTCAGCAAGATAAAATGTTGAAATAGAATATTGTTAATAGAGCAAGAAATGGTACTCATTGTCTACGAGTATTATAAAAAAAGCATGTGCGCAGGCGAATACTGCAAATCAAACCTTTTGAGTCAAACATTATATTTTTTCTATTAAAAATTAGTCAAAATGAGAAAATGCTGTTTTGTATTGTAACCTCAGCTTCTTTCTTTAGGAATATTAATTAATATAAAGGATGAGTGATTGTCGAAATAAATAATCGATCATTGAAAATAATCGATTATTTTCGATCAATCCATTGTTTTCAATCTATTTGTTTTTCGTATTTCCTTTAAAATAGACTACTTGATTATCTTTGAAAAATCAAAAATAATCGATTAATTAAAAAGCCAATTAACCGATAAATCAGTGATAAATTATCGTTTATTTTAAATAATCGATTGTTTTCAAATAATCCATTTTTTTTCGTCCATTGAAACAGATTATTTGATAATCTTTGAAAAATCGAAAATAATCGACTAATTAAAAAGTCGATTAACTGATAAATCGATTTAAAAAAAAACCGAATTGTCGATTATTTTAAATAATCGATTATTTTCGATCAATCGATTGTTATCAATAATTTATTTTTATTGTATTTCATTTAAAATCGATAATTCGATTATCATTGAAATACCGAAAATAATCGATTAATTAAGAAGCCGATTCTACGATAAATCTATTTTCCAAAAAAATAACCGAATTATCGATTATTTTCTAATAATCTTTTTCATATTTCGTTTAAAATTGATTATTCTATTATCTTTGAAATATCTAAAATAATCGATAAAAATCAATAAATCAAAAATAATTAATATTAAAAAACTGATTAACCGATAAATCGATATTTCTAAAAAATAACTGACATATTGGTTATATAAAATAACGAATTATATTCGATCAATCAATTATTTTCATATAATACCTTTGAAAATTGGAAAATAATCGATTAATCGAAAATAATAGATTAATCGAAAATAATAGATTAATTAAAACACCGATTAAACGATAAATCGATTATTTTCAATTAATCGATTATTTTGAATAAATCTACTTTCTTTTTGTATTTCCTTTAAAATCGATTATTACATTGTCTTGAAATTTTAAGTTATTCATCCTGTATTTTATCTAATATTCTTATAAAAATACTACTAATTAACTATGCTTCTTTACTTCTTATTTATCTACCAAAAAGAGCTAAAAACCACCTTTAGTAAATATTCTTATAAAACTACTTTTTAAAAACAAAATTTCGTTCCATTTACTTCTTATTTAAATTAAATATTTAAAATTTTACCCTTTTGTAAATTTATGTAAGTAATACGAAATCTGTTTTCTGAAATGTATTTGATGAATATTTATTGAAATCCCTTAATGCGGATCTGATGTATTCAGCTCAAAGGATTATGGCGCTTTATGTCAAAACATTAATAAATATTTACCGCTGAAAACGAATATATTTTTTATATTTCATAACACTGGTACTTGTATTATATGTATATATAATTTCTTAAGATACATCATGGCATTTTGAGTTTAAAATTGAATAACTAGAACGCTTTAAATTGCTAAAACACCAACAAATAAATCAAAAACAGCTGTCAATGATGATTGAAACTCAGGCGGAGGTGAACGTTGAATGGAAAATCGGAGCAATTCGGGTGGCGTCGTGCAAACAATGATTTTCAATTGGTGGGTTACTTGGAGTTAAAACAGACAACATGCGCAGTGTGCAATGTAACATCTTCGGTCTCTTTTATCTACGGTTTCTTCTTAATTCCCCACTCAATTCCCTCAGCTTAAACGCCAGTGTTATATGTTACATCTCTGGACTCCCTACATTCTGTATTTTTCATTACTCGATCTTTAGATTAAAAAAAGTGTTAATCGAAAAATGTTACGTTTATTAACATACATAGAAAATCTTACTGTTACAAGATAAACAACTTTTAACAAAATAATTCTGAGATTTGATCCCAAATAATCCACTTAAACAACAACACTGTATTAGCAGTCAACATCAGAATCATGATTTTGAAATAAAAAGACATATTGACATTAACAACGATATTCTGATTGACCGTTCTTATTAAATCCTCTAGTTGTCTGTTGTCTCCTTGAGACATGATAAAAGCTGCCCTTCTAAGATTTTCCGGTAAATCCGGATCTTCCAACAGAGGATCTTCCTGATGTTGGTCTCTCATTCCTCTATTATTCAAGCTAAATATATTTCTATCCATGAAGGTGAATCTTTTCTTGATCATAAATTCTGATAGCGTAAATTCTATATGATCAAGGGCGTCTTGAATTTTCCGCAGAGAAATAATGTTTTTCATAAAATTATCGGTATCGTCGTCGTCTTCCTCTTCTTCGAAATCTTCAAGTGCTGGCATAAATTCGTAGTCTTCTTCGGTTCTATCAAATAAGTCTGCATCTAAAATCAAATTTAATATCTGATTGCTAATGAGATAAATAACATGATATTAATACTTCTGAAGGAGAGGAATAATTTTACTAAGAAATAATTCTTAATATCAGACGTGTTACATCAAAAAAAGTATTTCTAGTATCGCTCGAGACGGGTAACTAGCATTTATCTTTTCTTATGCTAACTAGAGGATTTTAGTCCTAATTGTTGGTCTCTTATATCAACGCACATTGGATTGGCTGCCTTTCAACTTGAACTCGGGACCATCCAACTTTTTTGGGAGCATTATTCTCTCAGAGTAAAAGGCAAAGGAAAATGTATAATAGAAAACTATTAATGATAGTATTACCCCTTCAAATATGCTTACATAACAGTTTTGTTCCATGTTTCATGTTCAACTACTTAGGAAATTGTATATGTGTGTGTTCTAAAAAAAAGTCATATTTAAATAAGTGAAGAAATATAAAGAACAAATGGTACCAAAACGTTAACAAAAGAACTAGAAGTATGTGTGTGTACTTAAATTTATTAATAAAATGTTGAAAATATGTGATAGGAGTAAATTAGTAAAATTATAAATTAAGTATTATAACAACTACCAGAAACAATGAATTTTAGTGTATTAATAAAGATTGTAAAGTTTACAAATAAATAACAGCATGTGATAAATGATATAATAGTGTAATCAAATCTGTGCAATTTGTAGATTTCAGATAATCATTCCAACAGGATATAAATCTTGATCAATTATATTAAAAATACTTGCATGGTAGATCCTGAACACTTCACGGAAAAAAATGTGACTAGAAAATTTTACTACAATGTTGTAGTAGTAGACTTGTAGAAAAATATTTAACAATTTGTAGAAAATTTTACTACAATTTATAGTTAAAAACTATTAATTATTGTAGCAATTGAATTGTCGAATAAAATGCTAGAACAATAAGAAAGAAGTCCACAATGTTTAGTATATTTTACTATTGTTTGTAGAAGTAGAAATTTATTACGAATTATCGTAATTACTACTACTAACTTCTGTAAAAATTTGTACAAATATTAATAATTATCTCTACAAAAAATAGTAATTTTCTCTACAAAAAATAGTAATACTTTACATCCCTTCTTATGAAAAAAATTCAATTTTGTTCAAAAATATTCTATAATATTGTAGAAATTCTAAGTCATGTGAACAAAACAGAATTCTGCTATTGGCCAACGTTTTCTGACGTCGATCATAAATGGTCAGACAGCAGTAGCCGTTCGCCATGTTCACATAACAAAGCATGGTACATATACGAGTACCTATAACACATTATTATATTATAAGCACCGATGCGTTTGAGAAAATTTTAATAATAAATTCTATTGGTGGTAAGTACATTTATTATTGTTTCTGAATAATTTACCTTTAGATAACTAATTTAAATAACCTTAGTAGATTATTTTAAAAAAATAGTTGTGGCCAACGATCGAATGTTGTGCCCAACGATCGAATTTTGTGCCAAGTTCAATGATGTTGGTTTGTCTTAATTGTGACATACCTATATACTTTCTCATTTTTGTTAGTTATCTGACTTAGTCATTTAATATCCAAATCAGTGTAAAGGTGATAAATATCCCCGTTTTAAGGGTATGAACAGTTCAATTGGTATTAATTTTTATTTCATATTTTTCAGGTGCAGAAAAGCCAACTGAGACTGAGGGCGCTATTATTACTGTTATTTATTACATAATGTAATTAAGACTTTGTATCTTTTATATTAAAACAATAAATTGAATATTTTATTAAGGAACATTTTTTTCTAGGTTATAATTATAATAATTATGGAATACTACTACAAATTTTATTAAAAATTACTACAATTTATATGAATTTTTACTATTTATTGTGTAATATTTTCATATTTATTTTCATAAAACGCAATACATTTTTAATATAAATTCATACAATGAATAGCAAAAATTATAACAATTTGTAGAACAATTCTTATGATGCATTTGGATATTTTTACTAAATATTGTAGATAATAACTCTACAATACATTCTCCACAAATATTTGGAAATTTTTACTACAAATTGTCCCTGTCCCTATATGTACTATTTATTGTAGAGAAAAAATCTACAATTGTAGAAATTTGTTCTACAATTTTTTTTCCGTGTTGCAACTGGGTAAATGTATGGGTATCAAGTAACATAAAAAGGGATATCCATAAGTAAAATCGACGAAATAATATAGATTTTCCAGAATTAAATGACCTTCAAGCATGGTTGAGGATAAGTATCCTAACAAAATTAAAATGATAAATGGAGAAAATAAAATATTTTCTGTTTCAAATTGTTACTTGGGTGCACTTTCAAAAATTAAGTGTCTTAAGAGAAAACAGAAACCTCCCATTTGAATAGAAGAATAAAATGTATTTACCAAAAAGAGTGGGTTCCTGAGAAGGTTCAAAACAGTCTTCAACAGCAAGTCTCAATTTTCGAATTTCCACCATTTCTTCCAGCCCTGAGCAGTATTTGGCGAAGGATCAGCCTTACGGTGATTTTCCTCGACTGTTTCTGACTGACGCTCGCAAATAGGATCCGTCTGTGTTCCTTGTGTACACTTTTCTAGGGCAGTTGTCAAGGGATTTTCTTCGTCGTATGTTGTCCTTAGGATATCCTCAATGATATCGCAACAGACTTTCGAAATATATTCTTTAGATTGAAATGGCAAGTAACAATTATCTAATATGCTCATGTTATGTGATCGATTTCACTTAAATTTTGACATTGTTCTACCTAAACTGTCATTTATTTCATTTTGGCGATTTTCATCCACAGGCGTCTCATTAAATGGACTAAAATAATATTTTTTTAGTTTAAATTTTACAAAAGTACAATGTACAATAATGATTAAGCCTTTAAAAACATTTGTAAATAGTGAGACGTTTTCTACGAATTCTTTCAAGCTGTACGATTTGTTGTAGTGAAGTTGTTGTCTAAAAGGGTCATCATCAGAAGCCATTAAGTTAATATTTTGTTTGCGGCTCATGAAGTTTGGTATTTATGGTGTTCCAGTGATCTTCTTGAATATTTTTAGATCCTTCGATATTTGTATCAATTCAAGGGGAAAATTTAAGACCAAAGATTATTAGGGACCGCCAGCTCGTTACCTTGGATTACAACATAACAAGGAATACAAAGTAACAGATGCTTCTAGGGTAGTCAATTTATTTAAAACTTAAGTCATCAATTTCCAAAACCACAGGATGATCTAGGTATATAGTTTTTAATAAACAAAATTTAAAAAATAAATCTGCATAAATTGATGGGCATTTGTTTTCTAACAGCGTAAGATTACTGATCATACAATGCCAGTCTCGCATTTTGAGGCATCAGTGAATATAATTTGACTGAATTTATTCTTATTAGGCCTGCTTCAGATGTTCAGAGGAGGTATTATGTTTGGTAAACTGGTAAACTGAACTGGTAAACTAGCGTGGATACCAGAATATAAAGGTAGATATTACAGAAGAATTAGTACTTGAGATACGAATGCATATTTCCAAGTAAAACAGAAATACCTTTTATAGAATTAAATATAGGATTGGACACTAACATCATTTGTGAAAAGAATTAGTAGATGTACAGGAATATTATTATTGTTTTTACTGAGGTGGAATACGCGAAAATAAGTTGATGGTTAATGGTTGCTGGTTGCTTCACAGCACACACTTTCTACTACAGTGTTGTGGTCCTAGATCAGATTTAACGTCTGGCATATTAACGAAGCTGCCATAGTCAATGTTGCATCTAATGATTTATATGCCCTGAGTAAGACATCTTCTTCAGACTTCTACTGATGAGCTAAATATTTAAAAACAATAAAGCTCTTCTAGACCAATTAATTAGCAAGTTGGTGGTGTATTGCTTCCATGGAAAAATATAAAGAAGTCATTTGCATCCATTCCATATTTATAAAAATGAAATGAGTTTGCATCAAGCCATTGGAATACTTTGGTTAATGTAAACACAAGAGGTCGTAGAAAGTCATCTTATAATTGTGAAAAACGTCGTATGCTTCGTTTATGCCTGATATTCAAACTGTTTGTATTATTAATACTGAACACTTAGAAACATTGCTGTCTTTATGTTCAATATAGTTTCTATAGTCATTTTTAGAAGACTGCGACTCCGAATACCAATTTCGGCTTATAATTTTATGAATTTTATTTAGTAAATTCTACAATAACTTTACAGATCTCTTCCATACTAATGGGAATCAAATCATTAATACAGCTGCATCATTCTAGTGATTGCTTTTTAGTTTTTTATTTGTTTTTTTTTAGAGTTTTTTAGAATGGCTTTAATAGGTGTTTCGAATGATGACGAATACCATTTTTATTATCCAGAATTGTTATTTTTTATCGTTATATGTCCAAGCCTTGTATGAACTGCGATATTTATGACTAAACGGTCACCTGTTCTGAGCATTTATGAATGGTATAATCCACGGGCAAGTAGGTAGGAGATGGTCACTATTATTCAAGACCATTGGCGTAGTGAAAAAATATCAGGTTTTCTTGTGCGATTATTTATTTTGGCTTCATATGGCAGTTCTTGGAAAGGCGGTTTATTTTTATTTAATTTTTAAATATTTTAAGACCTCGTATCACGATACAGCTTGTTTGTCTCCTATTAATAAATAATTTAATTTCTAATATAATAGTATATATTTTTTTGGGATGAAGTACTTATGAACATATTTTTAAAATGAATGTATTCATATTTGGTTATAGATGGTCCTTTCTCTGGATGGGATGATGTTACTGGTGACACTATCTTCAGTTTTTTTTTTTTATTTATACTGAAGATTTTATGTGAATACAGGCCTGCTAATTTTATTTTATTTATTTATCAAACGAATGTTCCTAAAGTATATATAACTTTCATTTAGGTAATACTTTTTTCACAAAATGTTTTAGTGGATTGTTCTTTTACTTTAATAACTTATAAGGTACAAGAAATTATTTTAAAATTTAGTTAACTAAAGTATATTGTCAATTTTAAAAGATGTTTATAAATAGCTACGAGTTGACATATATAACACGTACATATTATTTACTAATTTTTTATGGTGTACTGAGGTATTGTAATTAACATTTTACGGATTATGTAATATTATGTAACATTTTATGCATATTGTCCTTGGCTTTGGTACTAATAAGAACGACCCAACTGTGCAACATATTGATGGTTTCATTATTCTTATTGGGTTTATGAATTTGCACTATTTAATTTTTGATTTATTACTAAATATGAACAGAGGGTTTTTTTTTATATATTTTCAATATATTGCTAGTTATATGTCCAATCTGCTTTACAGAATTATTTTATGATTACAGTCTCTATGGTCTATGTATAATAAGAGGGTTATTTAGCTCAAATAAAATATTTTCTAACATAAAAATTTGTTCCATGTAGAGAATTTCAAATTAAAAATAAAAAAATTGAACTTGCCAACAAAAAATGAAAATCAGTCATTATCATCCAAAATATCATAATCGTCATCATCATCATCACTGTCATTACCATTAATTGTTATTATGATTGGACTTATTTCGTTTATTTTATTTTCACGAGTTCACCAATCTTCTATTAGTTTCTCGACTTGGATATACAGTTCCGCCACACTTTTGGAGTTGCAATTGAAAGTGCTTTTCGCCAAGTTTCCCGAACTGCGTCGTCACTATAACCATATAGTTGTCATAATATTGTTTTGCTATTCCCCATATATATTCGATGAGATTAAACTGGCAATGATACGGTGGCAAACGTAAAACTTGATGACCGTAACTTTCAATAATCTGATCCACAACAAAGGTTTTTGGTTTTCCGTGTATATTTTCCAAGCGTAATAATTCTGATTTTAATATATATTGAGGAAATGGTATATGTTCCTTTGTCAACCATTCTTTAATTTAATCAACAGTCCAAGAATTCGTTGGACTTTTGTTTAAACTTCAGAATGGTAAGGTGCATTGTCTAAAATAATTACGCTGGGCTCACTTAAACCTGGGAGAAGTTTTTCATGCAACATATTAAATTAGCACCTTCTATAAAACACGATTTCCCTCCTGCATGTAAAATTATGTGTTGCTTCCCTTCTCCATCGGTATGTTTGATGGACTTTACGTTATCATCTTGCCATATTTTCTTGGTTGCACCCTTAGAAAATATCCATGTTCCGTTTAAATATATAAAATTCGCCCCTTCTTCTTTAAATTTAGAATATTTTCTTATAAAGTTAATTCTCTTGTGCACGACAGAACTTCTTTCACAAAGGGCCTTTCTGTTATCCTCCTTTTGAAATTTGAAACCCAAGTTATGTATTACTTGCCATATAATTGTTCTGCCAATGTCAAATTTTCGTCAAATTTTCTATCTATTAATTCCGAGAGAATTGTATTTAAGGTTGCATGTTCCTTGTTGGCCCTCATTCGATAAATGGTATCACGAATTTCAAATTTCTTTCCATCTGGAATATCTTTCATTTTCAATGATGGGCGAGATTTGCGGTGACCTTGTTTCGGCAGTTCACTATTGTGATTTTGTATTACTCCTCTTAATTTGGTTTCGCTAATTTCTACAGCATCGCATACGCATTACCGATTTTAAAGTACCGCCATTTTCTTTTTCATCCGTAAAATACTTATGTACACTACAAATTAGACTATCTACATCTAACACACGTCTAGGCATTTTTAAAATTTCTACTTAATTTAAAATATACATACAATGTCAACGCTTGCAAAGAATCAATTCAACTGCAATATTTGTAACAAATTTAGTACCTACCCTAATGTTATTTTAATTTAAATTTGACCATTAGGGCAATTTTACCAAATTTCTTGGGAAGAGGCTTATTGGAACTGGTTGTCAATGAGTAATTTGCATAATTTTGTTAATCCGAAACCCGCGTAAATATAGCGAATAGACTGTAGTTTATATTCTCGCTTTGTTAAAATTTTATCTCAAAATCTTCTGCACGCCACTGTTGGCGCACCTGACGCAAGTCGTTTACAACTAACAGACCATGCTGTTCTCCCGGACAACAAAAAATAAATAACTACTGAATGCGCCTAAAAATTGTCAACCGGATTTATAAATTATCAGTTATTGTAGTCGTCGCATCAACAATAATGGTATTATTGTTTGTTCCTAGGTATGTAATGCGAGGGTGGAAGTTTCAAAGCCATATAAATTATGTTAAATTACTAGCGTAATAGTAAATAGTAATAGTAAACAGTAGGTAATTATTGAAAAATAAAATTGCCCAAGCATGCTGTGGAACGCCATATTGGTAACGCTTTAACAAGTCGCCAAGTTGCCAATTTGCTGATCGAGTATTTATAATAATTATCCTGCATTGTAATATTCCTTTGACACACATAATGATAGCTTATCAGTTATCCTATAAAAGTACTTAATTGTTTTATAATAGAAAGACCATAAACCGCAATATTGAATCAATTTTTGATTAGTTTTCTACTTTTTTAAAGCGATAATTAATAATAGGGACACTTATTGGTTTTCTCATCTGCTTGGCAATTCACATACAGTTTTATGATGATCGGCCCCTGCAGTGAATATCATGACTAGGGTAAGTCCGGTAGAGATGCCAACCTTTTTTAAATGTTTAAATAAAAAAATTATTTTTCGTTATATTTATTTAAATTTATTAATGTTAACACCAACAACATAACTAAAAGATACATTAGCGTAAAAAATGATAATTCTTATAGAAAAAGGTACATTGTAAATTAAAAAAATAATTCAGTTTGGCATCTCTCCCATATTGTCTGGGTGAGATACCCATCTGTCGCGGTACAGGT